AATCCCAAAGTGTGAGGAAGGTAATGTTCAATGGACTTACTGATTTACTTTCCCGTGTAACTTTCCTATAAAAGATCAGATTACTTCTCATAACCCCGAGAACACTTTGGTTGAACACAAGTAGGAACCAGTAATGTGAGGATTTTCTATTACATTTTGTGAATTTACTTGGTGCAGCATTTTAAGTAAATCGGTTTTCAAAATTACGATTGTTAAAAAAGATTACATCGGACAAGACCGATGTTGACATCCAAATTCACATTCTTTGTTCCTAAGCCTAAGTTCTCGTTTTCTTTGCACTTTCACTAAAAGCCAATTGTAAATTGCAGTGTATTTAAACATTCTATGCTTCTGTATGCTTCTCGGGAAGCTGAGAATGTTTCGGAGTGTTCTATGGTCTGCTGGGGTAATAATATAGTGTAAAGCGCATAGAGCCTGCTGTTGAGCGGGGATATGCGCTATACAAATGCTATCTATTATTATAATTATTATGCATCTTTAAAGTTTTATAACGCGACGAAATCAAAATAAAAAGAGAAAAAATGTTAACTACATGTTAGCAATAGTACATTGCGTTAGGAACATTTCAAGACTAAGAACAGCGGATGTTGCACAAAACAACCTGAAGGCCTACAGAGCCCCTCAATTTGGCAAATGAATCCAAAGCAGGCAAACAAAAGCTGATAGGAAAAGCAGTTTTTAAAAATAGTCATCAGAAATTCCTCGGCTGACGAAGTTAGCGCAGAAACAGTACATCTGGACGACGCACATACAGCGTTTCAATTACAAGAAAACGCCGAAAATCAGGCTGTGATATTGAAAAATGGTTAATGCGTACCAAAACATTTTAAGTCAAACATATGAATGTAGGAGAAAGCTATTTGACAAACTGAATTCAAAATGTGCTGCTGACGTGTAAAGGCACATAGCAAAATGGACGACGCTTGCAATGTTTCTAAGGTGATTTTTAATCTAGCCTCCGCGCAACAAAATAACATTTCAGCACTTTTTTTAAGGATGGGCAAAGTAGTTTAACACTAGGTCTCCCCAAATCTTTAGTTTCAAACCATCCTGTCTGTATTTATAGGTGTTCAGGGTGTTGAAAAAGTATATGTGATGCAGCGTGGTGGAATCAGGCTCTCGTCAATTTTTTGGGCATGTAGAGTTATCAATTGGTATCATCTTAAAGCTTGTTCACTTATCTTTATTTGGATGAAAAAATGTCCATTTATCTTGAATACATTTGGAGATATTTGCGAATAAAGGAGGTGAGGGTCACCTATTTTCAGAGGAAACATTAGTGAGGAAATGCCGCCAAAGATTGGTTATTTCCTTAGCCTAAGAGTCCGTGGTTACTGAAAATTTCAATTTTTTGTGCCTTTAATCAACATTTTTCAGAAAAATCAACACAGAAATGAATTCTTTAATGGGCGTGAAAGGTGTTGAGCCAAAAAACAAAAATTTGATAAAAATTCACAAACCTGCGGAAAAATGCAGGTTTCTTCAATTTGATTATTTTGATGAGAGCCTGATTCGACCACGCTGCCTCACATATATATTATATATATATGCATTCATGTTACAAAATCGTACTGATTTTTAGGCCTTTTTTTCCATGAAAAAAATGTTTTAGTTTTTTAGCTAGAAAGGTGCAACCATCATTATACTTATAAATGGGAGCTTCCTTATATTTCTAAACACCAATTGCTCCGTTGTGGTTGCAATAGAATGCTTTACAACTTTGAAACTAGAACAGGCATATACATAACTAGTAAAATGGCCCCAATTGCTGGACTGACCCATATATTTAAGTATTTAGCCTAGACTTATCTATTATCTGTAGGCCTAATCGAACTGATCGATTTGTCATGTAGCTTTATTGTCAGTCTGGATCAAATTTTGGATATATATTATCATACAAAATGTAGAAGATATCTATGATTTAAAATCATGTTTATAAATGAAGATCAAGATCTTTGTCCAAATAAGCTTAACAATGGAGTATTTCCTAAAGACCAAGATCTAAATGGTCGCTTTTAAACTAAACACTAGGGTGCTATCCCGAAAAATGCTGTTTTGAGAAGTTCGAAGTTAAAGTTTTTGGACCGTTTTATTCAGTTTCTTTAAAAGACAAGAGGAGTTTTCTTTATAACCAAACAAATATACACACGTATGAAACCAGACTTCTACTATAGATAGGGCAATGCCTACTTTTGGTGTAGGTCAAGATTTCTAGAAACCCCCGAAATCTGGGTTAGCTCACTTGTCCTTAAATGCGACTAAATGTGAAGTAAGATAGTCTAAAGCGCAATTTAAAAAATAACAAAATAAAACATAATATGGCAGAAATATAAAGTAAAGTGTCCGTTCCACAGGCCATGTGTCATTCCTGTCTATTATTACACTACATCAAAGATCCTCTATACAAGTATGGTCAGACTATTGTGGTGTGTACAGGAGAATAGGATTTTTGACTGCATTCAGTAGAGTACTTTAGTGACACAAATAAATGTCAGTAGCACAGTCCATATCCTGTGGCACTTGAACTTGGCCTACAATGACAATATACATAATGTTAAATTGAAATTGCACAGTGTCTAGAGTGATGGGGCTTTTGTAAGCTCAGTCAAGCGGAATGTTTTTCATGGTTATGTTAGCTTGGATTCGAAATCGTAGTAGATTTCTATTTAAATTAGTAACATCCTCATCATCCTTTCTGTGTGTAACTGTAACCAATTGTCAACATTTAATGTACTGGTTAAAAAACCCACATTGCTGTTAGAATTAACATCAAAGAATTTCAAGGGCTCTTTTCTTTTCTCATTTACTTACCTTCCACTTTCTTTTTACCTAGGAAATTTGCAACAGCAATGTGGTGGGTCATGATAGTTTAATGGAGGATAAAGCCCAGTGTTCTGGATCCTAAAAATCTTAAATCAAGGAATGATAACCCTAGCTTGTCTTTAAGTTGTTTTTGGTTCCAGTGTGCACAATCCTGGGATGATAATGAATGATGTTCTCCATCAATTGTCACTCGATCTGTGTAGTTATCATGTACTGAAAAAAAATTATTTGTCTAATTGATGATATCAGCTAACCTGCTTTGATTTTGGTAATGGATAATTTATCTGCAACTGTATGGGGAGGTTCCAGAAAAAGGAGTGGACTAAACTAATGCACAGATTTTCATTTTCCCAAAGCCCTGAGCCTGATAAATCTATTTGTTCTTTTTAGTCAACCATAATTTTTTAAATATGTTCTGTTCAGTTGGGAGGTTATGGGGAG